CGGCTCCCCAGCGCAGCAAAGAGGAAGCAGGAGGCCCTGGTCTGACTTTCCTACAGCAGCTGCTGCTGCTAGGGTCGGTAGAAGCCGCAGCCGCCGCCACCCTTCCCCCGCAGTTACTTCTCGATGACGCAGGAGATGCCCCCAACGACAGGAGGAGCTCAGCCCGTGCAGAAGACGCTGCGCTCCTCCTCACCCCCCACTCTTGCATCAATGCAAACCCCCTAGGCAGTCGCAACTGCTCTCAGGAGGGGCCTTCAACGGGGGCTCTCGGTCAAATGCAGGCAGGTAGACACGTGAACTGCTGCCCTCCAGATGCTCCAGCTGCTGTTTGTGCCCGCGGAACAGCTGCAGGAATGGTTATGCAGCAGCAGGAGGACCTCTCCCATAGGGTGGCTCTCGCCGTTGGGGGCCCGGTGCAGCAAGGAGGTATGAAGGCCGCAGCTACAGGATTAGCCGCACCACAGCCAGTTTCCTGCAGAGACAAAACAGCAGCGAAAAGCCTCGATAGTGCAGCATCCTCGCTTGACGTGGTCTCTGCTTCAGGTGCTGCTACATCTGCGGGGGCTGCGGAGCAGCACAGAAACTCACNTCGCTTGACGTGGTCTCTGCTTCAGGTGCTGCTACATCTGCGGGGGCTGCGGAGCAGCACAGAAACTCACAGCCGCAGCGGCAGTCCCAAATGTTGCGACAGCAGAAGCCTGCTGCAGCAGCCAAAACGAACAAGGAGAAGGGCATCAAGCGACGGCCTGAGCAGCAGGGGCCCCTGCATGGGGCCTCTCGAGCAATATCCGGGGCGTCAGCTGCAGCAGCTTCTCCTGCAGCGCAAGGGCCCCCCTTGCACGTTGTTGGGGGCCCCGTCGCGCGCGCTGACGGGCCACCTCAGAAGCGGCAGGCTGTCGGGCGGAGGAGGGGAGAGACAGCAGCCGGGGTGCGGAGCAGCAGCAGCAACAGCAGCAGCAACAGCAGCAGAGGCAAGGCTGCAGGAGGTGGGGGCCCTCACAAAAGCTCCGTTGCTGCTAGGGGTTCTTCAGCAGGCGGGCCCCAAAGCAGCAGCTGCAGACCCAGCACCACCGCGAAGGCATCACCGCCCCAGCCGATGCAACAACAGGAGAATGGAGGCTTGCAGGTATGCCTCTGGCCCATATATTAANATTATTTATTAGTGTATGAATGTCAGGGCCATTGGGCTGTTCGTCATGTGACTGTGTGCAGGAGAGCTCAAGCGACATCGAGGCAACTGAAAGTGGAGCTGCTGCTGCAGCGGTCGCTGCTGCGCGCTGCAGCAGCAGCAACAGCGGCGCAGATGCTGCGGTGAGTGCGTTTGCTGCTGAGTGGCTGCGCGGCTGTCAGCAGCGGCTTGAAGAGACAAAGGGGAAGCCAAGAGAGGATAATGTTGCTGGCGCCAGCGGCAGCACGGGCCACCGCGGCCTCAGAGACACTCCTCCTCGTCATTCGTCTTCTGCTGCTAGCTCATTCAATCCTCACGAAGAGCAGCAGCTGCAGCTGCAGAAGATAAAAAAACAACTTAAACAGGAACTCAGGGCATACAACGCGGCGTTCACAGCGCACTTTGGGCGGCAGCCCCTGAAGCAAGACAAGGAGCCCCTTAGGCCGGTGTACATGCACTACCAGCGAATTAAACAAAGGTTAGAGCAGCATCTCCTAGTCGCAGCCGAGGAAAACAGGCCTTCTGAAGCAGCAACAAACCCTGCAGAGAGCAGCTCAGTGGCAACAGAAGTTTCTAGTTCAGCAGCAGCCACCACTCGGCGCAACACCACCGACATCTGCTCTCCCCCTGCAGCGGCCTCTCCCACAGGGGCAGCGAAGCGGATCAGGAGGCAGCGCAGCAGCGTGCGTTCTGTAGAGGCTCTCAGCCCCAAGGCAGCGCACCGGGGTGTGGCCCCCTCGTCGGCCCCAAAATCACCGGGAAAGGCGAAGGAGAAGCAAACATCCACCCGGCCTTCTGCCTTTGAGATACAGCAGCAGCTGCAGCGTCGAAGGGAAGAAATGGCGTTGCAGCTGCACCAGCTGCAGCGGGAACGCCGCCTGCTGGGTGATAAACTCGCCGCTTACCACCTCCGCTTCAAACAGGAGCACGGCAGGCCTTTGCGGCTGAAGGCCGACATTGCCCCTGTCCACGAAGAATATAAACTTTTCGTGGAAATCACCAAACAGATCGATGGTCTCGCTTTTGCGTTACAGAAGCAGACATTGTGAACTAACGAACACACGGTGGTCTTGGTTTTAGTGGTTTTTTACATCCTCTAGAGCAACCGTTCTGCGCTCCTTTGTGCTTCGTGTCTTCCAAATTAAAGCAATTCTTTTAGTGTAGGTAGAGCTGTTCTTGAACATATTGGCACATATCTGCAAGGCACACTCTACCTGTAGTGGACACACAACTCGGCGTACAGCCCACTACCTGACTAAATATTATCTGCAAAGTTGGGCTTTAGCTGGAATTTTCGGATCCAATGCGCGGATTTTATTTCCTCTCTCTCTGTATATATATATGTATATATATATATATATATATATATATATATATATATATATGAGGTGAGGCTGATGTAGTATTAAAGATAAGAAAGTGAAACCTAATAGAGCAGACGGTCGTCCTGCACTTCTTCAGTGCCCTAGAGAACTCCCCTCTGGCCTATTGGATCTCTGTGCCCTTTTCCCAGGGAAGTAAACCCCAACGATTGTTTCTCGAATCAGAATTATTTTTATTTTATTATGTAATCATAGTTGATTATTGTTACTGCTGGCGGCGCGATTTTGCGTAGTACTCGCAAAACCCCACGGTTTGTATCTCCCCCAAGGGCGCAGCCCCAGGAAATCATAGCAAACGAAATTTTGTTTGGAGGCGCTGGCGCCTCTGTTTTATTCTGCACACAAGTGTAGTGGCTGTCTGCCACTGCATATGTAGCAGTAGAAGCGGCGCAGAAGCAAATCGATTCAGCCGAAGCGAGCGCAGCAATTTTATACTGCAGCGCTGTTCGCCCGTTCTTTAGTCTATCAGATAAGGTGCTCCGGTTGCACCCTATTCACGCTGAGACAATTGAAGGAATTGCGCTGTGCTCAGTTCCCGAGCTTCAGACTTGCAGTGCCGTCGTAAAGGAATGCACAAATCAAGCTGAGGAGGGAGGAGAGGAGCGTTACAGAAGCTACAACGATTCCTACAACTCCGGCGTAGCCCATATTTCCAAATAAGGCCATCAAGATGGACCAGATGAAGTAATGTGCAAAATTAACGGACATGAAATCCAGGTGGAACGAGGAGAAGTGCGACATGACGGTCATTGCGCCCATGACGAAAGGTGTCCACACGTCGATGAAGACCGATGGAACGAAGGAGAAGAGCTGCATTCTCCAACTTCCCTTGTTAACATCTGCGAGCGGGTCGTCCCCAATCGAGATAGAGGGGGATGTTGAGGAGAGCTGGAAGCACCAGAGGAGAATAGTCAACACCCCGCTAACGAAGCCGACCCACCGAGTTACTGTTGCAAGAGGCTCAAGAGACGCCATTTTACGATCCTTCCCAGTTTCTTCTGCCTTCAATCTGCACTCAACAGCTCCACACCCAGACTCGCGCCAATGGATTCGCCAATTTTTTTGCTTGCCCTGACCGATCAGAGCTGAGAAGCTCGGCAAACCCTCTGCATTTATGTCATAATGCATGGTGCATGTGTGTCTAATGTTTCTCGATCGGTGTGGTGCAAACTTCGAGGAAGACACTGTCACTCTCCTGCGTGCTGGCACGTCTGTTTCGGCTATGTGAGTGCAACGCATGCGGCGATATTTGTGAGAGCGTGTGTTTTTTAGGCATTCGCACGCCTTTTAAGCTTAAAAATGCGTCTATATGCGGCAGGGCAATTGCGATCTACGCCAGAGGGTGCCGACGAATTCTCGCGCAGATCTACTCGTGTTGCAAACATCGCAAACATCGCACCTGTATGAGGCGCACTTCAGCCTTCCCGATATTTACTATTGATCTCTAACGTTTGTTACAACGGAATGCCTAGAAAGTGTTGCTTCTTTCTAGCATCGGATGCCTGATGCAGCAGGGTCACTTCTGCGCGAGGCAGCCAGCTTACGGGCATGAGGCCCCCGAATGGATCCAGCGCACATGATTTGCACGGGTAGCCGCAACGTCCTTCTTTGGAGTCTGGTTGCAAAGTTACTTTCTCCACATGATGAATAATAACAAACGAATACATGTGGATCAACTCCTATTCCCTCGTCCATGCAGGGCGAAGAGTCAGTCAGTGTACCGCATATCGGAAGCGAGTCAGCTGACGTTCAGTGCAGATATCTAACGAGATTCCTGGAACTTAGAGGAGCCTTCACTCCAAACATCCGGTATAGTACAGATTTTATGGAGTGTTATACTCACACTTTCATCGAGTCTAGGCGAGTACAGTGCAGAATTATAGACAGGCCAAACGTGCCCCTGGCCCGCAGCTCGGCGGTAGGTGGTCTCTACACCGAAAAAGATTGCACCACACATCTTCATTTCCGCTACAAAAAGTTCTTGTTTCTTTTCCTGGTGCACCTTCTGGAGGCAGATGTGCCAATCGACCCACAGCACACCAAAAGTACATGGCAGGCCTCGCCATTCCTAGCTGCCGTGACGAGCGCCACATATTTTGCCTTTGCCGTTCAGCAATGAACTTACAGGTTTCATGGAGGATTCTCGCCCTAGTCGAGAGGGCATTCTAGCAGTCATCTCATGTCTGAGGAAATATTTCGTAGTGTCCCTTGGTTCAGAACAGCGAATAGAGGTAGTGGGCTTTACAGGCAACCTCAGCATGCCTGCCTCTCCAGGTCGAGGTCGAGGATTGGTTGAAATGCGCTGAACCGATCGTTGGCTCAGGGAATTAAGAAGTAAATGAGGTGCAGATATGGAATGTAATAGCGAACCAATTTGAAGTAATCCTGGAAATTACTTCCTTCTTGTTCTGCTTTCCTCGTCTATCTCGCAGTCCACCAGGACCTGCAACCTTCCGGATTCGTCTGCTCACACCGCATACGACCACACAGTTGCCTGAGCCAATAGCCCATCAGACGTGCTGTGGGACTACTCTGTTTGATTAAGTTTTTGTCGGCGAATTCTACTTTCATTTATCTCGGCAGTTTATCTACTTTCTTAGTACATATAATAGTAACTGCCACATCCTCTTAAGCGTAACTGCCTCAGTCATTGCAGTATGCTGCACTAAGTTACTGGTGCTAATCAGAGAATTCGGGCAGTGATATATTTTTGACCGTTGACATATACACTGCGACATACTGTGGCTGTGTGAAACTGACCGGATATCAGTAGTTGTTGGGCAAGGACACCACAATATTTTCAGCTGAGCTAACATCAACTAAACAAAGTTCAATGTTAGGAAACGGCACTCATGGGGGGAAAAAGGCTTCCACCTCTAAACGGGAGAGACATGCGCACGGAAATCATGGCTTCCTCAGATGATGTCATACGCTAGCCATCAGTTCAAAGGGCGAACAGCTCAATTCACCTGCGAACGTCCGATGCAAGTCTATTCCATTTGCGAAGGCAATCAAATAAGTATGCCATACTAGAAAAACTTGCCTTCTTCGGCCACAGTGGAACGGATGAGTCTGAATAGCCCCTGCTGGGGACTGTTGCCTACAGTCGCATCTATATTACACAATTCGCCTCCGTCGGCAGCCATCGATATACGCTTGCAGTACCCCTTGGTAAGAGAATGATGGTCTGCATCTGTCTAATGTCGCAAAATTAACTTATTGGCAGCAGCAAATGAGAAGCCCTGCGTGAATAAGTAACAGCATAACCAGTTCAGGCAAGCGTATCATTTACATTCGGTAACATGTGTCAGTACTTCAAATTTATTGTTTCTGAGTGTATTAATTTCTGGCACCGGACAAGTATTGGCGGGCAGAAGGCATTCCACTATCGCATCTCTAGGCATCTGGCAGGGCGGGGGAGACTCAGGAATCGTGCCTGAATTAAGTATCGATATCAGCTATATCGACTGCAAAAGGTCTTAGGTTATGGCATCGTCAATAATGAGGATGTGCCATCTCTGTGTCTGTTGTAGCTGAACATAATGAACCGACGGTGCTCAACGCTAGTGCTAGGAAGTACAGCACCCTTCCAATTCCGTTTGGGCTGTAGCCACAAGCTACTGTCAAAATCGAACGTTTGTTTCGACCTGCTCTTGAGTTATTGCTGCACACGCACCCCACGACGTGTGCGCTAGGTGCAAATAATATGATGACAGCATCAAGATGCATTGAGACCCTCATGGCATCCGGCTTTTCCAAGCCGGACTCGACTTGAGTAATGCTGGGCAATGACGACCAGCTTGTGAAACTACACAGATCAGACCGAAGTTGTGCGGGACTTAGTATCATTGGTGTCAATGTAAGCGTGGATGCAGACGCTTGAGAGCGGGAACAGCAATGGTAGGGGAGCCCGCGAAGCTGTGCTGATCGGCAGCAAAAATTTCCGATATAGGTTATTTCTGGATCACAGCCCATCGGGTGTTTAGACAGCGGTACTATCTACACGGTGGTTCGACGTCGATCTTCTTGATCAGCCTTGTTATTGGGGGCGTAGTGCTGCAACATTGCAATATGCAAATTGATGAAGAAGTTCTAGCAGTTTGCCTCCTTCGGTGTGGATGCCAACCTCCTCCTAAGCATCGCCCCCATCAGATGCCTTTCAGCGACATCTCCGAGCATTTTGGCCGGGTTGTCCGGCGTTCGTTTTACGTCGCTTATGCGGGCGGCTGTTATACATCTGCAAGCCCGAGAAGCCGTAAGGTGGTGGAACGGACTGCTGTTCGTGAAGAAGCTAGTCGAGCAGAGATGTCGGGAAAATTAGAATACCCTAATGTCTGCGACGGGAGTGAATTCTGATATCAGATTGCTAGTGACGCCATTTATGTCCACATAACTCGAAGAATATGGCTCTTTTGCGCTGGTCTCTACTGAAAATCTTGAAAAACGGGACGGCTCCACTTTTTTTTAAGGCTTTAGGGGCGGAGAGCCTTCGCTTGTAAGCTTACGCTGCACTGGACCATGTTCTTGCCTGAGGTCGCTCACGCTAATACGTAGGGCAACATATTTGGACAGGCTGGGGTGTAATCTAGTCTGCTGAAAGCAGTCCTCCGCTACTGCACTTCGTTATCTCCAATTATGTACCCACGCTTGCCGCCACCTACAGGTTGAATGATAACGCCGTTTCGGTTTCCTTGACTGGTGACTTCTAGCACATCCTACGTAATTTTGGGTCTCCTTTGCACAGTAGAAGCCGTTACGGTACGGGCTTTGCGAAGCGAGCCTCCATCTCCACAAAAACTGGTGGCCCTAACAGGCCCTGGAATGGCGAAGAATCGAGCAGGAGAGCAACGTCAGCATACAACGCCTCAGATTTGCCTTAATGGTCCTCCATGACTTCACGAAGATGCAATGAACAGGCTAATAACTCGGTAATTTTAACTGCGAAAGACGATATTAAGAGAAGCGTTCGAGTGTCGTCATCTTTTTCTTTTTGCTTTGGCCTCCTTGAGGGTCGACGAGCAAGCATCATTTCAGCCTGCTCTGCACTCGTCCATGCGTGACCGTTCTGCTTCCATCTAGGGAAGGCTCGTTCCGAAGCTTTACCTCCAAAGTTGTACGAACTCTGCCAACACAGAGAAGAGCTCTTATCTGCGGCGAAAAGCGAAGTTTGGAGTAGAACGGAAGTGAATAATACTGCGCCAAGCTGTGACGAGCTGCTGGTTGCCCTGAGATCTTTTCAATTTCTCCGCATTGCTTCTCGGCCTTACGGCGAAATCTTTCCTTGAAGCTCCCGGTAGATTCTGCTGAGCTAATTACTGCAACTCAGGTTGGATTCGGCAGACAGCTTGGATCCGTGACTTGGAACTCCCAAACAGTCATTCACCACTGCCTGCCTAACTGCCTGCCCTGCTCAAAGGATGGCTACGTCTTAGAGGGGAGAGAAAGCAAGGGGAATCACTTACCCGCAGCATCTGCTTTACCTCCCTTCTGCGGCCTAGCCATCCTGTCGCTGTTTTCACCCACATGTGCTTTCCCTAGTACCAACTTTGTCCTAGTGCCAACCTCGTCTTTTCCTCCTTTGCTTTTTCAGTACCGATTCCCAAAATTGAGTATCGAGCATTCAGTTTTATCCAGTCTGAGCAAGAGTGCACCACCAGCATTCTAGTCGGTAGCCGGACAGGCACTTTGCGGTTTGCAATTTGAGTTACCAACAACCAATGGTACTTCAGCAGTTAAATGTTCTCTTATAATACCTGACAAGTGCTTCGATTTAGACGAATTCGATTCACGAGTTGTCGCACGCTAACAATAGCCCAATTCAAACGACAACTCCAAGAACAGCCAGGGTGTGCAGTCGATGCAAGTAAATTCTAAACACCGGAGTGTACGAGATGGCATTCTGCTGCGACGATATACAGCGGAGTACTTGGGCTATTTTGATGCTTCGGGTTCAATAACTCCAAAGGACGAAACTT